CATTGTAATTAGAAATAAGATTTAGTTATTTCGGAGGTCCCTATTTATGTAGATTTGTGTCAATTAAGTCCGCCTATTTTTTTATTTCATTAGGTCTTTATTTCTGTAAAATTGAGTCAATTTTAACCTTGCAATCAATTGGATTAGATGTAAGACCTATGAAAAATATTGACCTTAATAGTAATAATTTTATTACTAATAGTAATAAATTTCTTAATGAGTGAAAAATATAATTAATAAACTTATATAAATAAAACGTGATAAATTAAACAAAAATTTACAGAGACAGTAAACATTTTACAAAACTTGAGACATGGGTTCAAATCTAGCAATGATTAAACCTAGAAATAACTATTACATAATTATAAAACTTGTTTAAAAATATAAAATACTATTTAATAGTAGTATATTATTCACGGTGCAATATATGGGAAAAGACAACATACACTGCAGAATAGCATTAACATCCAAAGCAATTTGATTCCATTCAATATGATAAAGCTTTGAAGAAAGTGCACATTTTTTTAGGGTCCACACATCTCCTTGTCACCCCAACATTGATTATGATTGTAAACAATATTACAACTTTAATTCATAGATGATATTTATCGTCGATAATATCTATCCAGCTTTTATTGTCAAATCAACAAAAAACAAATGATAATATCTATCCAGCTTTTATCATCGAATAAAAATTATAGTACATTTTCAACTTATTAATTAAACATTTCATGTATTATCGTTCCTTTTATTATAAGTATATAATTGGAAATTATTAATTGATATTATTTTATTTTAACGATTAAATATGTTTTTGTCTATGAAAACTAAACTTAGTTTGTATTTAAAAATTTAATTTTATCTAGTCTTTTAATTTTAGAAACAGATTTTCCAACTAATATTAAAAAAATTATTAAATCTAGAACCAAATTCCAATGTTATTATAAATACATTAAAAATGTTAAATAAATTTAATACATTGTTACTAATAAAGTAAATTCACCATTCTAAATTATAAATCATAAATTATAATTTATCTTTTGAAAAAAACTAATGCTAATTTTTATTGAAAGTTAAAAAATAAAATACTTACATAAATTTAAATATTGTTAAGTGTTGGGGACAAGTGGTTTCCTCTACCCTCAATCTAATGTGATGTCTAATTGATTAACAATTTATGTTCGTATGTTTGTTATAAAATAGTTAATAGTAAAATTTGATACAATTTGTTCTAGTTTAAAATCAATTTTTAATTCATAATTAAATTCTTTTACAAAATTTAACCGTAAAAATTTAAATAAAGTTATATTATTTGATATTTTACTATAATTTTATTATTACCACTTGGTAGAGGAGAGGAGTCATTGGCATAAAAAGAACATAAAAAAACAAAATTCATAACTTAGAGATACATTTAAACATAGTTTATTGACAAAGATTAGTTTATATTTTTATGATTTTTATCGAGCGGTGGGGGGCGGGGAGGGGGTTCGGACATTCTCTTAAAAATTAGTTTGTTTTTTTAATGTTTGAGTTTTCTTTTAGTAGATTTTTTTAAACTTATGTATTTATATATACAAATATCAGGATGTAAACATTTTTAATTGAATATTGAAACTTATTTTATTAAAGAGATAGTTTTCTTTGTTCTTGACTTAGATTTTAGGTTCTATCATCTATTGACATTTTTTTGTAATGAATTACTTATCAATATTATTGATTGTGACATTTCTATTATGGGTTCTTATAAAAGAATGATGTTTTGTGATGAATTTTTTTTTATATATCAATTTAGTAGATTGTGACTATATAATTTTCGATACATATTGTTCTACATTATTTTATTTAGTTTTCCTTATATTACCCGCCAGAGCTTTACCCTACTCCGTTCCCCCCGATCGGTACCTCTTTTTTTATCTCCTATATACGAATACACCTGGGGTAATGGGGGGACTACTGGGCACTGTTCTGTCTGTGGTCTTATAGGAAAGTACATAAGCTGAACACATTAGCATTTCGCATCTGGGAAGAAGAGGATGAAGTTGTCAAATAAAACACGAACTTCACTTCACAACAAACCACCTTAAAATATATAAAAAGCCAACAATTGTTATTTTCAAAAGGATAACGAAACCAATACTTAATTTATTTTGACAACATTTTAACAACGTTTACGTATTATTATGTGATTGATCTATGTTTATATTTATAATTATTATTATTATTGACTGTGAAGTAATTTTGGACCAATCATATAATAACACATAGATAATATTAAAATGTTGTCAAAAAAATATTATCAAAGTATCATTATATTTTTTTTTAAATGATAAAAATTGAAGTAATATTACTCATGTTTTGGAATATAACTAAGATCACTCTATTTTATTTTTTATTTTTGATCACTTTGTTTTGTTGATTTTTTTCATTGATTTTATTTGTCTTTGAATTCTTTACTCTCCCTTCTAAAATAAAATTTTTTCAACAACAATTTTACATAACTTATTTTCTAATATTAACATATGATAAAGAAGGTAGGTCTACAAAGATAAAATTTAGTAGCAAGCTTTGTAACATTATTTTCTTTTTCACGGCATTTATAATTGAGTGAAAATTATATTGATTTAATCAAATATGGTAAGGCTTTTATTCTTAATTTAGTAAATATATTTTCCAAATTAGTAAAAGGGTATTAGAAACACAGTGTTGGTATGAATAATAAAATTTCCTTTAAAAAATACTTGCATTATTGGGTTGTCCATCACCGTTGCTACTGTTCCAAACCTTAAAAAAACTAAGTAGTGAAAACAATAAAATCATGGATCTTAGTCTATTTTAAACATAAAATACCATAACTGTTATTAATGATTAATTAATTAATTTTATGGCTATAAAATATTGAGTGGAGGGAGAGAATTTTCACAAGATTTGGAGGGGGAGTGCGTGTATATAAAAGTGAAAATCAGACACAAAAATAATTGGATAACAATTATCATATATAATAATATAAAAAGGAATATAATAAGTATAAAATATGAATTTTTACAAGGAAATAACTAAATGATATTTATCTATATATAATATATATTGATTTTATTTTTGTCTAAATTTGTTATTAAATTACTTTTTAATATTTTTTGAATTAAATGATTATTTTAATTAATTTTATTGGTTTAAATGATTATTCTTATCAAATTTTAACCATTTTTCATTTGATTTTTTTAACTTAACATTTTTTACAAAACAGATTACCTACACAAATAAATAAAAATTATAAATGAACATTATGAAAATTCTTTTATAAACTTTAAATTATAATACTAAATGACAATAACATTCTTACTTATCATTAAAAAAAAGATCAATATATATATCCGATGTGTTTTTCCTGGTTACAAAGTAAACAAATTCACACAAAGCTATATAACATTTGTTTTAAAATATAAATTTTTTATTTCTAATTAACAATTAAGCTACCTATATTTGTATTAATTTATGTTTGAATTAACTTAGTAATTTTTATTAACGTTAATTTTATTTGTAAGCGTTAATGTATCGAGATTTGAGTTATTTTTTATCTCTAAGCCTCTGTTCGCTTGAGATTAATTTACTTGTCCGAAGAAATGTGAAGACGGATTTCAGATTATTGTTTTGTTTGTTTTTAAGATTTGTGCGCCATTTGAAAGCACGGTTTGCCAGGATAAAGAATTTTCCATTCTCTCCGTCTGTGTGGCGATTGCAAGAATTTATCAGCAATTACAATGTTAATCCCTTTAAATATAGTGTAGTTTGACTAAAATGATTTACAGACTGAAATAATAAATAATAATAATAATAATAATAATCATAGTAAATAAAATAATGATAATAATAATAATAATTAATGTTAATTTTTTACTATTTATAAACATTTTTACAATTAAATATAACTGTTATCATTTTATTTCACTTTAATAATTATGGACATTTTGGTAATTTTTAATTTCTACCAATTAAACAAAAAATATCCTTTACATTAATCAATCCCCCAAAATTCAAATCCAGTCACTCCTCCCCCAAATTCTTCTCCCCCAATGAAACACACCCTAAAGCTCCTTCTTTTTTTCTTTTTTTCCTTTCTTCCCATCACCTTCTTCTTCTGCACTCTACCACGTCCCCCACCTTTCACTCCTATTCTTCTTTACTCTCTTTCTTCTTCAACTTACCACCATCATTTTATTTATTTTTTTTCTCTTTTCACCACTTTTTCCTTTTTCTCTTTCTTTCAAAGTTTCTATGATTTATTAATTGTTATTTAAACTTGAATTGAAGTTGAAAACGAAAAATGAATATAAAAAAAACAATTAAATGAGAGTAAGAAACAAATTAGTAACTAAGACGTTTTGATTTGTACTTTTAAAAGATACATAGTCATATAAAATGTTTATAACTTATACAAGATTAAAATATACCAACGAAAAAAACACAAAAGGGTGCAATTCTGTTTTCAAATTTATCAAAATGATACAATTTAAAAAATATTAAAATTATGTCAACTTTATACAATTTTATTGTGGAGAAGTCCTTCCAATTGGATATGATTTTAACTGAAGTTATACTAAGCCACGATTTTAAATTATATCATAATACTACTAACAAATTGACACAACTTTAACTAAAATTAAAAAAAAAATACAACACACAAAATTGTATTAAACTGATAGAACTTCAATTTATATCATAATATACTAATTGTATTGTGCTAACACAACTTTAATTAAAATTTTAAAAAATTATAACATCTTAAAATCGTCCAAGTGAGCATCACTTCTTAATCAATTCATACCAAGATAACTTTTTAAAAATTTGCACTATTTTAGTAAATTTGAAAAATAAAGTTGCAATATACCAACAATGATTATACAGATTATCTGAATCTTAAACTCTTAATTACATGCGTTGTTACTGTTAACACGAAAATTTAATTCAAGGTGTACGGAGGAAATGATTTATAGACCTAATTGCGACCTTGCTTTTTTGCTCACATGCCATATTCTACTTTCAGAAAAGAAATATCTAGCCACCGTTGCAGGAAGAAAGAAAGGCCATGGACCATAGAACCCATCCTCCGTCGGCCGTGACTGAATCATACTATGATGTACCAGATGGAGTTGATATTCTGGGAAGATATGATGAAGAGTTTGCAATAATCCTGAAAAAAGATGCTTTGAAATTTGTTGCAGACCTGCAACGTGAGTTCAGGAGTGATATCAAGTATGCACTAGAGAAGAGAAAAGAGGCCAAAAAGAGGTACAATGAAGGGGCTCTTCCGGGTTTTGATCCTGCCACCAGCCACATAAGGGAAGAGGAATGGGTATGTGCTCCTGTTCCACCAGCTGCTGCAGATAGGAAAGTGGAGATCACTGGCCCTGTTGACAGAAAGATGGTCATCAATGCCCTTAACTCTGGAGCTAAAGTCTTTATGGTTAGCACATTTACACTCTACACTACTATGCCTCTGATTTCAACCAAAGTTGTTAATCCATATTTAAGTTTAGAGTTTAGACATAACAAAGAACATTATAAAACTTTGTGTACACTTCCGTCTCAAGTCTAAAACTTTTATCTCTTCTGTTGACTGTGCTTTTATTTTTTTAATTGTACCGATTTGAGTTTTTTAAGTTTTATGTCATTTTCGAATAAAATTTCATGCTGAAGACATCGTGGCCAGACGGAGGGACCTAATTATAAAGAAGGGGGACTTCAAGATTTAATTGAGATGGTTAGAAACTTGAAAGATTAAAAATCTGCATTCAGAATAAAGAACTATAACCAAGAGTGTAATCAAGTCTTATATTTTTTTCAATTGTTAAAGGGTTTATTGAATTTGGTTTATACCGGAACCATAGCACTGAAAGTTGTTAATGTTTGTCATTTCTAAGGCTGATTTTGAGGATGCACTGTCACCCAGCTGGGAAAATCTCATGAGCGGCCAAGTGAACTTGAAGGATGCTTTGGATGGGACCATAAGTTTCCATGACAAAGTCAGAAACAAGGTTTACAAGCTCAATGAACAGACAGCAAAGCTTTTTGTGCGACCAAGAGGTTGGCACCTACCCGAAGCACATATTTTGATTGATGGTGAACCTGCAACTGGTTGCCTGGTTGATTTTGGCCTCTACTTCTACCACAATTACTCAGCATTTCGACGCACTCAAGGTGCTGGTTTCGGCCCTTTCTTTTATCTTCCCAAAATGGAGCATCCAAGGTAAGGACTGTGCTATGCAGTCATGACACGAGCCAAAGAACAACGCTATTTCTGTTAGTAATTTCATAAGTTGGTTTTAGTATGATACACGTAAGGAAAAAATTTGAAGGAAATTCTTTAGTTGGTGTTATTTTGGTATTAAAATTACAGTTTCATTTCGATTGTCATCACAATAAAGGTATGCATGAAAGATCAGCAGCAAGACAAATTTCTAATTCTGATTGAAGAAAAACACCAAAGAACTTGTTCATGTCGAAGAAAAAAACGACCGAATAGTTCTAAAACATGTTCAAAACTCAATGAACCCTCTTATGCATGATCTAGGGTGTCCAAAGGGATTACAAACTATTATATGGAGGTCAACACATCCTTAATCGGATGGTCCAGCAGGACCAGCATTTATAGAACTCTGTATTAGGGAATTGTAATATGACAACCTTGTGATTGACAGGGAAGCTAAGATATGGAACAGCGTGTTTGAGAAGGCTGAGAATGTAGCAGGCATCGAAAGAGGAAGCATAAGGGCGACGGTTCTGATAGAAACCCTTCCTGCAGTGTTTCAAATGAATGAAATTCTGTATGAGTTGAAGGACCACTCTGTGGGTCTGAACTGTGGGCGATGGGATTACATTTTCAGTTATGTGAAGACCTTCCAAGCTCACCCAGATCGCCTCCTACCAGATAGGGTGCAGGTTGGCATGACTCAACACTTCATGAAAAGCTACTCTGATCTCCTCATCAGGACCTGCCACAGGCGCGGTGTGCATGCTATGGGAGGAATGGTATGTAATGGAACTACTCTAGTTCACCACCGTTAACATGAATAGTTATTCTTAAGCAGTTCGAACTTTTAAGTGTCTGTTTGGTTTTTGTGGTACTTTTTAGGAATGATATGTAATTGAACTACTTTAGTTTCTGCATTATGCTTTAGTTTACCAATGAATAATTACAAACTCTGATTCTATTTTATTTCTTTTTTAAAACTTGTACGTAGAAAATGTGTCTGATAAAGTTGAAATTGTCCATCAGGCAGCTCAGATTCCAATCAAGGATGACCCAGTGGCTAATGAGGCAGCACTGGAACTTGTAAGGAAGGACAAGCTGAGGGAAGTGAAAGCGGGGCACGATAGAACTTGGGCTGCACACCCTGGTCTCATTCCGGCCTGCATGGAGGTTTTCAACAACATCATGAGCAATGCTCCTCACCAGATAGAGACAGTGAAACGCGAAGATGCTGCAAACATAACTGAAGAAGATCTCTTGCAGATACCAGTAGGAGTCCGAACCGAGGAAGGTCTCCGGTTAAACACAAGGGTGGGGATTCAGTACTTGGCAGCATGGCTGAGTGGAAGCGGTTGCGTGCCTCTTTACAACCTGATGGAAGATGCTGCGACTGCTGAGATTAGCAGGGTGCAGAACTGGCAGTGGCTCAAGTATGAAGTGGAACTCAATGGGGATGGAGTTGGAGAGAAAGTGAACAAAGAGCTTTTTGATAGAGTGGTTGAAGAAGAGATGGGTAGGATTGAAAAGGAAGTGGGAACAGAGAAGTTCGAGAAGGGAAACTACAAGGAGGCTTGTAAGATCTTTGCTCGCCAATGTACATCCCCAGAACTTGATGATTTTCTCACTCTGGAAGCCTATGATTACATAGTCCTGCATCGCCCTAAGGAAGGAACCTTCAAAACTTTGAACTGAGAAAGAGGTTGGTTCATTGTGCCTAGTGGTTGGGTCATTTGGATTCTGTATTGTGTACTTTACGTTGTTGATGTGAAAAAAATCGCAAGGGAACGATTTTCACAGGATTTCATGTTTGACTTGGTGATCCTTATTTAATAAAAAGGGAAATGTTTTTCGTTTTATTACATAGTGAGAGTTCAGCCTTCTTCTAAAATTGTGTCAAACTACAAAATGTGCTATTTTGGATTTGCTATCTCGCTCTTGCTGAGTGTCTGGCTGAAGTCTAGTAAGAGGCTGAGAGCATGAAAATTTTAAATTTTGGTGGTGCAACATAATGAAAATAAAGTTGATGTGAAGATAAGATATCATATATGGAATTAGTGAAAGTTGATGCATTGGTTTTTAATGTAATGTTATTATTATTGTAGATGTAACATTTTTGTTAAAAATAATAATTAAGAAAATAAAAATAAAGTATTCCTTAAAAATTATTAATCATGTTAAGTGTACTATATGGTTAGACGGTCATGCAGATAAGATTGAATGGAAGAGGCCATTAGAAGGGGACGATCGAAGCCATCCCGACCCCAGTAGTCAACATCTCTAAACTACACTTTAGATCAAGATTATTGGTAAGCGTTATTTAGTAGGTAATGAGTCTTGATTGGACAATGATTAGGGTTTCACTAATCTCAGACTCATCTTGAAACCTATAAACAGTGGTCAAAGGTAACAAGGTAGGTGATTGTATTACTACAAATTTAAGAATTTGTTGTGACCTCGATCGAATTAATTACTGACTTGAGCGTTGAAGTGCCTTTTTTTGATAGGTACTTCGAACCGTTTGGAGTGAAAGAACGAAGGATTTTGAGGACATTCAGAGTTACCTAAGCTTACTTGGAGAAAGTGTAGAAGATCCTCGACCTTACATCTAAAACCTTTTGGCGTCCACTGTGGGACCCGAGTGATCTAGAAGAAGACCTAATGGTGACCACGAGAAACATGAGCTCATAGAACCCGATAGAAATGATCAGAGTTCTACAACAATTTGAAGATGCAACAACAGAATGAGGGAGAGTTGGCCGCCCAGAGAGCGGAAAATGCGGCAAGGGCTGCGCAGGAGAATAATACTACATCCTTCCTAACACCTTTCTCAAATTCTCTTAGCATTACACATCATTTTTGTAAGAGTTAAATATGTTTGTAGTCTTTTAACATCAAACAAAGTTTTAGGTTATATTTGAGCCATTTACTTCGTTCTACATATTTAAACTTAAATATTAGTTTTGAACATTATTTAATATGTAAAAAATATTAGCATCATTGAGTTAGAAAGATAATATCCATTTATTTTTAAACTATGACAACTAAAATGCATTAAGAACAAATTTAAATTTTACATCCAAGTTTAAGAAACTATAAACACATTTAACTTTTTTCTTTTAATTATACACATAATTATTTTCTTCATTATTCATTCACATGCCAAAGTTGTCTTAGCATTTTTCAAAACTTTTCCATTCCCAAAGTCCTTCAAGCATATCAAACATGAAGATTTAACTTATTTCTCACTCAATCAACAATTAAATCAAATAAAAGTTAAGAATCACCTAATACCAAAGATTTTCATTTTAAAATAATTCAAACAAGATCAACACTCTATTAGTTGTACTTCAACCAAATATACACAGTAATAAACTTATCAAAATCAAATAGAAATGAACATCATCACATGGTGTGTAATGTGGAGTTTAATTATATTTCAAATTGTTCGGTATTTCTTT